TTATACCCTTGAGATCATCAATACTGTACCCAATTGCCTTTTTGTGGGTTCGAAGAACCTTAAGAAGTTGGAAGGTTTGTGGGTCATCAAGTGCAGTACTAATGATCACAAGGTGTAATTCGTGCTCATCAAGAAATACATATTTTAAATGAGAAGGGAGGGTTTTAGTTTAGGTTTCTTAACCTCTGCAGGTTTTGATTCCTGAACTAATTTTACTACCTTCTTGCTCTCCTTAAAGTCAAGCTCTTCAAGTGCGAGAGCCTTCTCTATAGCATCCACCTCACTGCTCCAAATACCAGCTTCACCTATACTAAAATCACCACAAAGTACTTCCTCCAAGGGATCCCTCACAAGGACCTGTGGTAAGCTATCTTCACAAATAACATCAATCACATTAATCACATCAATACTACAACAATTTTCCTCTGACATAGGACCTTTCCCTAAATTAAAAGTGATATTATCATCTCCGACAGATAGAGTTAATTTTCCATTTTTACATCAATAATGGCTCCTACAGTGTGGAGGAAAGGCCTACCTAATATTATTGGAATTTGTGTATCTTCGGCCATGTCTAAAACAACAAAATCAACAGGGATAAAAAATTTACCAACTCTAACAGAGACATCCTCTAGAATACCTAAAGGGTATTTAACAGAATGGTCTGCCATTTGCAAGGTAATGTTTGTAACTTTTAAATCACCCATATTAAGCTTTGAACACACAGACGATGGCATAACACTAGCACTAGCACCCAAATCAGATAATGCTTTATCAATAAAGACATTTCCAATATGACATGGAATAGAAAAACTACCAGGATCCTTTAATTTAGGTGGAGATTTATTTTGTAATAAAGCACTACATTCCTCTGTAAAAGCTACAGTCTCTACCTCATTAAAGGCTCTCTTCCTAGTCAAAATATCTTTCATAAATTTAGCATATGCAGGAACTTGTGTAATTAACTCTGTGAAAGGAACTGTTACCTGCAAGTTTTTCACCACCTCCAGAAACTTACCAAACGGCTTATCCAACTTAGTATTTAATTGTCTATTGGGGAATGGTAGTTTGATAACTGGTTTCCGTACATCTCCACTCTTGTCTTGGGTTGTAATTTTCTTGGGAGTTGTACCCTGCAATGTATTATCAGAAATGTTAGTTTTACTCTAAAGCCCTGCAAGGTCAGTAACAAAATCATTTGGTATAACAAAATCAGGATTAACAATTTTTGTTAAAACAAGTTCATCATCCTTGGGCATAGGAGGCCCATCATAGTGTGAACCACTCCTTAGAGTAATTGCATTTGCATGATCTGTAGGTTGCGATGGTAGGGCTCCCTGCTAGCGAGTTTGTAGAGTAGAGGAAAGTTGCGCAATCTGATTATCTATAATTTTATTGTGAGCTAAAATCGAATCAATTTGTGCATCCCTACTCTGCATATGCTTTTGCATACTAGCCAACATAGTTTTAATTTCTGACAAGGCAGGGTCAGTAGATGGAGGTGGAGTTTGTAGTTGGGTCCTTTGATTGGGTGGTTGATAGTATTTTTGCTGTGGTTGTTGTGGTGCTTGTTGTTGTTGTTGTGGAGGTGGAGGGTTTTGAACATTTGTACTCCCGTAAGAAAGATTTGGATGGTTCCGGAGACCAGGATTATAAGTGTTGGAGTATGGGTTATTTTGCCTATAGGTTTGGAAGGCATTAACTTGCTCCATGGAACTCCTACAATCTTGTGCCCAATGACCTACAATTCCACAATTTTCACAAAAAGTATCGTTAGTATTATTGACAGCAGAAACATTAGCTAAAGAAGTAGGAATAACAGTACTAATATTATCTAATTTTTGGCAAATAGAGGTTAATTGAGCTTGCACAAAGGATACTGAATCGACATTATGTTTCCCCTTGTTTGCAAAACCTCTAGGATTCCCATATTGGCAATTATGAATTGCCATCTCTTCAATAACTGTTCCTGCTAAGTCTTCTTGGAGATTCATAAATCATCCATTAGCTGTTGAGTCAAGTATTGATCTAGATGTATTTCCAAGCCCGTTGTAGAAGGCTTGGATTATTTGCCACTGCGCCAAACCATGATGGGGACACTCTCTCTGCAAATCCTTAAACCTTTCCCAAGCTTCATATAGACTTTCATCAGCTTCTTGGGCAAAATTTTGGATTGAACTCTTTAATAAAGTTGTCCTCTCTGCAGGGTAATATTTATTATAGAAATTCAAAGCAAGAGTATCCCAGTTAGTAATACCAAGTGCAGTTCTATTTAAACCATTGTACCACAATTTAGCTTTACCACATAAGAAAAGGGAAAAAGAATCTCCCTGATTTGGTCTTGCGTGACCCCAGCTTGCCTAATAGAATTGCAATATTGGCAAAAATCCAAGATGGGAAGATTTGGATCTTCACCCTTAGCTCCGCTAAATTGCTTCCTTTCAATCATGGTAATAAACTGTGGTTTAATCTCGAATTGTACTGCCTCGAGATCGGGTGTAGGGGCAAGGTGTGGAAAATCTGCCAGGGACAACTGCGAATAACCGCTGAGCTTACGAGGTGGTTGAGCCGTCATCTCTTATTCTAGTTCTGAAGAAACTTCTGTGTCACTAGAATCAGATGGGGGTTCCAAAGGTGTAATACCCTCGAAAGTAGCTCGTACTTGTCTAAAAAGATTCTTCTGCTTATGAAAAGAACGTTCGATTTTAGGATCTAGAACTCCTGGGCATAAACACATAACTAAACAAACAAGTATGAGAAACTGTCCCAAAGAACTTGCGTTCTCTGAGACTAAAGAAAATAATCTAGACTACAAAAATAATCAGAAATAAAAATAAAAACCATTTATCCCCGGCAACGGCGCCAAATTTTGACAGGCTAAAGTCGTATCACCTAATCAAAAGTAATTCCTAAAACCACTAACTAAAATAGATAGGGAAGTAGGGTCGAATCCACAGGGAAACAAGTCTTTCTATTCCTAATCAATTAATATAATCTAAATTATCAAGTAACCAAACTGTTCTTTAATGAGAATTAAACTAATGGAAAATAATTAAACTAAGGGAGGAAATCAATAATAAAAGGCCTAGGGTATAGGTTCACCAATAAATAATATTCCAGGGTAAAACACAACAATCAATTATCCATGCATCAATTAATCAGATCATAAAAGGCTTTCACTACGTATTACAATCACAAAATTAATCTACCGGTATTAAATCGCATCTCTCGAATCTTGACTTAACCATTTATAAATTAACCTGCCTATTGAAAATAAGCCTAAACATCAATTCTCATCTCTCGAATCTCGAATCAATATTGCATAACTCATACAATTAAACCAGGCCTAATCTAATTGCATAGCATTAAATTAATCAATAGAAAATCAACCAAAGCATTAACAATTAACAATAATAAATTACCCCTTCATATTATTTATGGATCCCCATAACCCTAGAATTAAACAACTCACACATAATTAAATCTAAACTAGTCAAAGCAATTAAGCAAGACATAATTAATCTAAGCAATAAAATTACTGAAAATAAAAGGGAAGAAATCGTTACCAAAATAAATGAAAATGATGAATTGTATAAATCTCAAGAGTGTAGAGAGAGAAAGTAAGAGTATTAACAAAGGCTTCAACTAAATCCGAAAATTAAGTAAAGAGAGTAAAAAACGTCGTCAACTTCCTAAAATAAATCGTATTTATACTTAGGCTAAAAAGATAAAACAAATAAAAATCATAAAACTCTTTCAGAAACACGCGCCCGGTCAGGCGGAGCTTCGCCCGCCCGAGCCCTCCTTTTTTGACCGTTTTTGCTTCATTCACGCCCGGTCGGGTGCGTGTCAGGGCAAAGCTTCTTTTTCTCCTATATGCCTCGCGCGGCCGGGCGTGCCTCAGGGCGAGGGCTTACCCGGTCGGGCGAGCCTCTGGGCGAATGGAACCTTCACTTGAGCTATTCTTTGGGCTATTTTCTTGGCCCGAACGAATTTCCTCTTAAGTCTTGAAACACGGTCCATTGCCTCGAGCTCTTCTTTTCTTCACCGAGCCCTTAATCACCGGTTTGATTTCTCTAACGCGGCCTTGGGCTTCGGAATGTGGTCATAGTAGTGCGCTCATACTCCAACGCTCGTAGTGACTCAAATAAGTCCGAGGAAAATGTTCTAAATCTGCAATTTCCTGTAAAATAATACCACAACTACGAAAACACTAGAAAACGCATATTAGTGATAAAAGTGGCTCTAAAGAGCCAAAAATACTCCTAACTATGACCAAGGGACGGGGATAAACACTATATAAAATGAACATATCATCGGGCTCTACCAGTTCCCAATCAATTCAATTGGACGATGAACTTGAACAAGAAGAAGAAGACGAAGACGAACAAGAAGAATATTTAGGTTACATACAATTAATTATAGTTATTATTTGTATTATCGAACCCCATATAATAAAATAAGCAATAAAGTTAAGTTATTCATCAATTATTGTAAGATTTTTATCATTATCAATTATTGTATTATCGATTTGTCGTACCGGCGTATAATAAAATAAGTTATTCATCAATTCTTGTGTTATCGCACTAGTCAATTTTTTAATTATATGCATTGTTGTTTTTTGCTAAATAATAATAAAGAAGTATAATAATAAAAAAATAAACTTAATTATAATATATTAATAATAAAAATAACATAAATAATAATAAATAAGTAAAAGAACTAAAATAATAAAAATAAGAAAAATATAAAGAACAATAATAATATAACAATAAAAAAACATAAATTAATAAAATATTTCATTACATCGATTTAAAAGAAAAAAAAGGTGGACAACCCGCTGGCCGGCCTGGCAAGATACGTCAGGCACTTGGGCCGTGCCGTGCTGTGGGCCAGGGTGTGCCAAATAATGACGCGACACGGCATGGCCCGCCAAGAAGCAGGCATGAGCCATCACCGGATACGGCGAGGCACGGCCATGCCCACCTTTAGATGTGATTATATGAACAAGGGGAGTGGGACTCTCAATAGTCAATACCGCGCAAAATGAAGGCGTTTCGAATCGTGCCCCAATTTTTGCCAAATATCTTAAACCCTAACCTTTTCCCTATTACTTTCCCAAAACCCCTTCATATTCCTGTCTTTCTCTCTCCTCTGAGCTCAACAATCTCAACGTTTCGCTCTGTTTTTTCAAGCTCTTCTTCTACACCTTCAATGGCGGAAAGTGGGAATCTTACCCCTTTTGATGGTACCTTAGGCACCCAGTTCGAAAGCTTCCGAACCCAACTCGATGAGACTAGCAATTTGCGTGAAAGAATTCGAAATGTTGCCTTGGAAATTGAGTCTGTCACTAGAATCATGCATGCAAATCTTCTTCTTGTTCATCAGTCTCGCCCTGTTTCTGGTATATATTGCATTGCACTTTTTTTTTTTTTCAATATTCCTTGATTTTTTCTGGGTATTCTTCAATTTGACGAAGTTGTGAAAATTTGAGCTTTTTTGTGTATTTAATTGTTCAAATTGCTGGAATTAAGGTTAATTTTGCATCACATTTTAATTGGAATAGTTCTATTTAATGATAATGTGAAGATTTTTGAGGTAATTTCAGTATGAACTATAAAATTTTGTAGTTTTCATTCATTGATACTTGTTCATAAATTTGAGTCATATAAGCTGCATTTAGTTCTTATATCAATTATTTGATTATATTTGTTAATTGGGTTCTTTCAATTTTAAAAATAGAGGTGTTAGAGAAAGCCAAATCACAAATTGGTCCGCTTAAGGAGCACTTTAACCGGCTCGCGGAGATCATTCGAGACTGTCCTGGTCAGTATTATAGGTAAGTGAAATTGAAGTAAAAATGTGGAATTTTCATGCTCTATCATATATTTTGTGGTTCGGCGTTGTTTTGATTGTTTCTGGTGCTAATCATTTGCTTCTTTCTCAGGTATCATAACGATTGGAAGAATGAAACTCAGACAGTAGTTTCATTGCTTGCTTTTATGCACTGGTTGGAGACTGGAAATCTTCTTTTGCATCCTGAAGCACAAGAGAAGCTTGGATGTGAGATTAATACTAAACCTTTCATGCTAGCTATCAATTTGCAATGTTATTAATGTGTCATATGCAGATGTTGTTTAAGATGCCAATCTAGGTTTGCTGTGGAATTTCGGAAAGATTTTCACTTCAAATTGAATACCTTATATAGTTTTGGGGTTATTAGAAATTTGTTCTGAGTTAGGATTACTGAATTAGTAATTCCTATATGGAAATTTAGATACATGTGACTAGAAGATGGACAAGATTGGGAACAACAACATATTTTTTTCCAAGTTGGATAAAGCATAGCATTATTGTGCTGTTTATTGGTGAAATACTAGTAGGATATATGGTTTTAACATAAAAATTCATGATATATTTGTTTACAGGTTTGGTCTTGTTCACCTGTGTCACAATGGATAATATGGCCCCTTATCGTTAACTTTTAATAGTAGATTTTGTTGATTAGCACATTTTTCTTGCATATAAATATGGAGATGGAAATTGACTAGCTTTAGGAATTGGAGTAGGAATTGGAGTGTTGTTGATCAGTTTGGAGATAATTAGAACTTGATCTTCTTGGAGAGTTGGAGGTTGTTTGGAGTCTTTACAAAACTGTTTGGAACCATGATATGCTCTCTTACTGTTGGCCAGATTTCTGGTATACATAGGACGGCCTAATACTAATTGAAACACTTGTTTTATTGCTGGTTTGCAGTGAATACTCCTGATTTTGGTCTGGATGTTGAAGATTATTTAGTAGGTGAGTAATAAAACTGTACCTTGTGTGCACAAAAGGCCCTTCTAATTCTTTTTTTTTTTTGTTAAAAAGATGTGCCTTTTACTGTCACCTTATTCCTTGATTATATTTTTCATGTTCTTTGAACAAAACTTCCATTGGCAATGAATTGTGGTGTGGTGCGTTTTCTTATGCATATGTCATAGCTTTAGGTGTGAATTGGCATGTTTTACTTGTTCTCTTACTTGGGTCTGGATGCTACAGAGGATGTTGATTGCAGAGTACTGAACACATTCTTAGTTTATGATTGATAAATATTCCTTTTGTAATCAAGTCCTGGTATACTGTTTTATTCATATGATATCTGATATACTCTATCTGGTGAAGTAGCAAATGTTATTCTAGTATATTGTGCTCTTTAAGATAACTTGTACATTAATCTTGGTTAGATTTTTTTATTATAAATCTGGGATCCAATAGCTACTACAACACAGACTATTAGAATGTGATCAGATATATATTAAACAAAAAGAGAAAGCTTAAGAAGTATGTTACTTTTTTCTTTTTAGCTAAGGATTTTGTTGTTTAGTTTTGTACCTTGGTCTGCTTAAATTCTCCCATTGTCGTATTCCTTATCTTTGTGTTGTGCCTTTTTCTCAGAGCACTTTGCATGTCTTACATTTTGCCTGTGTGTGATAGTTTGAAGCCAAAATATTAACCAATAGAGTACAGTTTTTTTTATTTAATATTATATGGAGTTGTATTCTATCTCTAAAATCTACCTTAGAAAAGGTTGTGGTGTCCAAGTTAGTCCTAAAGGCTAGAACCAATGGTCCTGACGGTTGAATTGTAGCAATGACCCAAAAATAGTCTACAAAAATTAAATATGGGGAAAAGGGAAAAAAAAAATTGTAGCTTTATTTTTGTTTCCCCCTAGGGGGGGGGGAAGGTAGGGAAGGAGTACATGGAAGATGGGGAACACTACTGTAGTTTGCTGAACCATATCTGCTGTACTACTTCTTATCATCTGGCCCCTCACTCGCTAAAAATTCTTGGTTGAACCTTAGCATGACTCTTGCCGTTGCGAATAATTTTTCTTAGCCTACAAAGCTTTGAGGTAAGCACAGGTTTTAATGTTATATTATCAGAAGAATACACCAAACCTACTCCATGGTGATATGGTCTATCTGACAGTCTTGAATGTGCCTTTTGATTATAGGACAGCAGTATTGTGCATGATACTGATCTTCCAACATCTGACAAGACTCCAAACACACTTTCACACCTCATGTGCATAATATATCCTAGTCAGTCTTCTTGGTTCAAAATTGTAATAAGTTTCTGGAATTGCATTGAAATTACTTGTAACATAACAAACATTAGCACCCTAATTCAATCCATTGGACCCTGTACCACCTCCAATCTGATAGACTCGGAACACACTGTCACACCTCATATGTTTAATTTATCAAAGTCATTCTTCTTGGTTCAAATTAATAAATACAATTCAGGAATCAAGTTAAAATTACTTGTAACATTAACAAACACTAGCACCCTAATACAATCTATTGGACCTGCTACAATCTCCAATTCTCCATATATCTATATGAAACTGAGAATGCTTTTACTTCACTTTTACTCTCTGAACCACTCTTTGTCTTGTCAAAATTTAACAGAATTTTTTCTGACCCAACTCGCAAAGCTGCTGATTCATACAACTCCACCCCCCCCCCCCCCTTAAATTTACTGTATGGAGTTAGTCTTCCACATCAGAACATCTTAAGAATTTGCGTGTTCCTTCTAACCAGCAGGAATTAAATTTACTGTTTATTCAAAAGTTCCTGTATCCCTTACATCTGCCACTGCTGTAAGCTTTGTTAGCTTTCATTCAGGGGCATCATCCATTGGACCTACTCGTCTGTGGTCAAAAACCTTCCTCTTCGTCTGATACACTGATAAATCCCTTATTCTCTGCTCTTATGTCATCTACATGTTCTTTCAGTAACACCACTTACTCTCACTTTGGCCAAGTTATAAAAATACAAGCTGATACTTTTTCAAGGCAAAATATTGGAACAGATGCTCACTGTAAATTAAAAATAGCTTGCAAAGGAAATTTCAAAAGTAGAATTGATGGCTTTGACCATTTGACAACATGAGATTGGATAGACTTTTCTTTAAGCTGTGGGAAAATCTGAAGGTTGAATATCAGTTTTGCACTTTTCCCCTTTCGTTAATAGACTCGCAATTTTAGGTATATATTCACTTGGGAAGTTTACACTCTAGAATACTTTTAGAATCCCATTTCCTTTATGTATTCTGCTTCAACACTGTTACCGGACATGCATATTTTTTGGCTTTTAAAAATTCAAATCTTCAAGTACTAATAAAAGGAATAAAAGAAATATTCAAAGAGCTTTTTTCAAGTATGTTCAGCTTTTTAATGTTTCACTTATGATCGCCAGTTTTGTGCTAATATTAACCTTGTTTTATCATAGCAATTAGCTGACTAACAGCTTGCTGATTATGTTTACTGATGTGATATAAATTTCTTTCTGCAGGAATCTGTTTCATGTCCAACGAACTGGTAATATTTATGCTTCAAGTTGTTAATTCAATATGTTCATGTTAACATTTGCATGACTGTGCTTGAAAGAAATCAATATAGTGCAATTGCCTGAAACTTGTTTCGTGTCAAAAAGTTTGCTGAATAGGCATTAATGATTTCTGAGGTGCTCTTTACTGTTGGTATATACTTATCAGATAATTTTATTGATCGTTTCGATGTGACACTGACCTCTACTATTAATGAAGTGTAATTTGCTTTAGTCTTGGCTGTTACCATGGTCTGACAAGGTCTGGCTTGTACAGATGGTGCCTACTTCTGTTCTTTGTGTTTGCATTATGTATGATGATGGTGGCCACTGACTGTCTGTTTACTGCAGCCTAGGTATGTGATCAATAGAGTGACTTACGGAGACTATGATTCTCCAAGGAAGGTGTTGAACTTCTTGACTGATCTTCATGCTGCCTTTCGGATGCTAAACCTTCGCAATGACTTTTTGCGCAAAAAGTTTGATGGTGTGTACACCTAAATTTTCCATTTGTCTCATCTGTGCCTGCATTTTGTATTCGAGTCTGCTAGGAGAGTCCAAAGTTTGTAATTATTTGCATCAATTTTGAAATGTCTAAGCATTGTCCCTTTTTTTCTCATCACAGGTATGAAGTATGACTTGAAAAGAGTTGAAGAGGTCTTTTATGATGTTAAGATTCGAGGCTTGATAGATAATGAGGATTCAAAAGGAGATCAAGGAAGCAAGGAACAACCTTGAGTTGAGGATTTCTGGAGCTGGGTTTTTGGTCACTATCCTTGCCCATGCATGTTTTAGGTGTTCAATGCTGCTTGCTGCAGGACGGTGAAAATATAGACATGAATATGCTGATGTGCTTAATGGTAAAGGTGTAGTGAAATATGTATGCTAATTTAGTAATTAATGAAGTATGGAAAGATCTGAGGTGCTATCAGTTATCATGCAACGGTTAACATTTCCAGTTGCATGTGCACATGTTACTTATAAAAGAGGAACATGAGCTACCAGGACTTTGCACTAATTCTGTAGTTCACGAGTCGTAAGACATGTTTTTAGCCTTCAGTTGACCCATTTCTCTCTTTGCTGGCTTTTGATTAACGCCTAGAGTAGCACCTCGTGAAGTCGGGATAATACAGGGCAGTTTCTGGAATGGTACGTGAAGACACTCGCTCTATCTTAAATAACTCTCTGCACTGCTTATTAAGGAGGCGATTTGATTGGAACAAAATGAATTTCTATGAGTATCAAAGTCATCAATTGCAGTAATTGTCGATGATACTTGAAAGTTGATAGAGCTTGCGATGAATGCCCAAAGGCCATGGCTTGCGATTGGCATACTTGTCTTGTGCACGTGTAACTTAAATGCAAGAAAAAGAGGCAATTTACTTGAGTGGTTTTTTATACTCCATGTTTCTATGAAGGTACAATGTGAAGGCCTGAAGTTCTGGGAAGAACGGGTATCATGCAGTAGCGAATCTAGGAATTCAAAAGTGTGAGTTTGCAATTGTTACAAAATAAGATATAGGTCTTTCATTTTTTTTAATTGCGATGTTGGTGTTTTCACGCTTACGCATATTCTATAACTTAAGTATGTTAAGTTATAATGATATCAAATATTTTTCATTTTATAAAATTAACAAGATCCTACTTGACTATATACATGTATATCTTTTCCATATAAAACGATTAAAGGAGTGTAAATATTGTAAAATTACTAAAGTCGAAATTATAAAAGATCGTACGAAGTATAATTTAATTTAAAGTTTAGAGAAGTAATTGAAGCAAAAGGGGGAGAAAAAAAAAAGCATTTGGATTTTCATATACGAAGTGCTTCAGAGAAGAAAATAGTTAGGACTTAGGGTAAAGGGGTTTAATTTATAGAGTCTTTGAATGAATTTGTAGGATAGGGAGGGATAATAGTTAGGGATATTGGGAGCTTAGAGAATTAGTTGAAACAAAAGGGAGAAATTTTTTTTGAGAAGGCTCTCTAAAATGAATGGTTGAAGCGAAAGGGGGGAAAAATAAATAAAAAGGCTCTAAAATGATTGCACTTGGACTCAAAACCCCTTATCTAAATAGCCTAAGGAGGCGCACAAACAAATCTCAGACTACCACTGTGCTGCGCTTGATTTCTTCTTTCATTAATGCAGAAGAATACATTTATCCTTTTTTCGATTGTTAAATAAATAAAAAGAAAAAAAAAAAAATTCCCCCAAAAATCAGTGGATTCAATGAACCCACTTGAACCCGGTGTGGGTCCACCACTGGTATCATGTTCCGATGTTCTAGATTTACATATCGTTTACCAAAAGCTGCTGTTCAACTTCTAAATGTGTCTATTATCAAGTCGATAAAAATGAAATAGCAGGGATATTTCAGTGCTTGCTTATGTAGGGCTATGAAGTTCCCTCACCAGTCACCACAATGGTCGCAACATCCACGAAAAACGAATGTGAAATTGGCAAAGAATGCTAAATTAGAAGGATTAGCTTTGTGTTTTCAAAAAAAAAAAAAAAAAAAAAAAAAGGATCAGCTTTGTTTACAAGAAATTAAATTAGCTATTTGTGGTAAACGTAATAAAGGTCATTATAAGCTCTATTACTGGTAGTGGAGCTGCATTATTGTTGCTAACTCTATAATCAGCTTCCTCGATGAAAATTAACAAAAATAAATCCAACTATTGACTTCCTTCTCATTTTAATCCCATCTACAATTTAACTTAAAATCCAAATCTCAATTACTTTTTAATTTTTGAAGAAAAAATCCCAATTATTAGGTAACTAGTATAGTGCCCGTGCGATGCACGATTTATAAATCAAATTATTAATTCCGTAGGAAAAAAACAAAGATAATTCAATTAGTAATAAAGGACTAATCTACTAATGGTCAATACAAAATAAAAGATTGAAAAAGATTGTAATTTAAATAGTATTTTATGTTATTTGCATTTCTTTTAATTTTTATAATGTTATTTTATTAATTGAAAAATAAATGAATAATGCTCCACATAACTATATAAGAGAAGTAGACTAATTTATTTTCTATCTTCGTAGGGAAAAAACTAAAATTTTCTTGTCATATCATTCGCTTTAGCAACTACAGTCTAATACATGTTTTACCCGTCGCATTCACCAAATCTATAAGCATGATAACCATATATTTGACCCACCATTATTGTATATGATATATGGAGTAATATTTATAGTTAGGAATTAATAGATATGGAGAATATTTTAATTTAGATTTGGGAAATATGTGAATAAAAAATATCAAAATTATATGATTTGATGAACATTGTATATAATTTATAAATAGGTAGTTGATGGCATTGACACAAAATAAATAAATAAATAAATAAAGAAGTTATCACTTTCATAATTTCATTGGTTGGGTAACCTCTGAATTATTCCAAGCCTTATTTAAATAATTGTTGATGCTCTAAGTCTCAAGATTTAACTATGGTAATGGTGGCTAAAAGAATTTCGGTAGTTTTTTCGGTGACCGGACATGTATGGATGGAATGGTGGTTCTTGGTGGCAGGGCATAATGAAATGGTGGTTTATGACTTTTGTAGACACTTGATTGTGTCTCCCTAAAAACCAAACCTAGTGATGAGTACCTTTCACGTCTTTGATTAACGAGTTCAGTAAAGAGTCGAAGAGTCTCGTGAAGTTTCCTAAAGCCTTGAATATATTTCTGGCCTTTTCTAAAATGTTTTAATCCAAAGTCATTTATTTTGTGTCTTTAAATAAACCCAAAATCATTTATTTCGTGTCCTTGAAATCGTTCATTTCGTGTCAAATCCCTAAAAACGTCCAAACCAGTCCATTTTATTCCATGATCTTAGTCCAATTATTTCTTATATGGATGGGGCTTGAAATGAGCTTTCTAACAATATATTATAAGCCCAAATCCGACTTATAACGAAGGAGTTATGACCAAAATACTAAACCGAGCCAAAACCAAGCCTTACCTGTGGCTCAATGATCATGGGGAGGGTCCAATTACCTTAATTCCCATTCCTAAACTAACTAGTATTTATTACAAGCTTCTAGAATTTTCTAGAAGGTTCTAATTTATCCTGTTTTCTAAAGATAAAGATTAAAGAATTTGATATTGAATAAAACATCTCTTTGTTGATAATCCTAATCCCGGTCAAAACTGAATTTCGTGGCTCATAATTTTATCCAAATCTTAGATGGTTTGATAGACCTTGAAATTATCTTTCCAATGATATATCATAATCCCAATTCCGAGCTATAACAAAAAAGATATGAACGAAATACCAAATTCTATCCAAAACTGACACTGTTCCACCATTTCGATTGTATCTTTTATTTTAAAAAAGATATCAATCTGATTTTGATTGGGTTGGAAAGTAAACTTTCAGAGCTTTCCAAAGATGTATTTTTTATCATATTCCGATTTGTGGATCAACAATTATGATAAAAATAAAAACCGCAAAACTGCAGGACCATCACACCGCGACAGCGACCTGACGCGCCGCGATACGTACTCCTATCGCGCCGTGATGAAAGGAGTTTTATTCCAATTCGAATTCGGATCTATAAATAGAGGTTGTTATCACCCCGTTGTCAATCACCAACAATCATCATCAATCTCCTTTCTTATATTCTCTCTCTCTCTCTCTCTCTCTTGATTTTTCATATTCTTAGCCTATTCTAAACACATCCTTGATACTTTCCCCAATCAACACCATACTTCCTTTGCGAGATTTGAATACTCCTTTCCCTTCTCGACGTTGCCTTCGACCTCGACGTGAAAGGTTGATAGTTTTGAGGGTTTGGTCCCAAATCTAAATTTCAATTATTATTTGATTTACTCCCTCCGTTACATATTACTCGCAACAATTACTATAAATGGCCGGTACACATTACTCACAACAAATCAAAATCTTTCCTTTTTTAGTAAATTTTTTAAATGAAATTACAAAAACACCCTTACATAAAATTTTATAACCTTGATTACATACTTTAAACATAATTAATTAAAACTACTTTAATCTAATTAAATTCATCTTATCTTTCTAAAATCATCTTCTCCATAATCTTTCTCTCTCTTCCTTCTTCATCTTCTTCCTCATCCCCTTTATTTTTCTCTCTCCTCCTCCAGCCCCATTCTCATAAATTGTTAAAGAAGATCACCCTTTCGTTGTGGGTTTTTCAGATCTGACGGTTTTCGTGGGTTTTTGTTTTGGATTCGTGTTTGGGTTTTTGTGTTATCAGGTTTTGGGTTCGTGGGTTATGGATTTTGAGGATATGGGTTTGAGTTTAAGTTTCTGGGGTGAGGGTTTTGGTGTTCATGGGTTTGTCGGTTGTGGGTGGTGGTGCTTGAATTTGTGGGTTCGTGCTTATGGTGGTACGGTGGATTCGTGGGTTTGACAGTACGGTGAATTCGTGGGTTTGACTGTACGGTGGGTTCGATTGTGGTTCATGGGTTTGATTGTGGGTTTGATTGTGGTGCTGCTAGGTGGTGTTGGTACGGTACTGGGTGGTTTTGTGGTGTTGGGTGGTGGTGCTGCTAGGTGGTGGTGGTATGGTATTAGGTGGTTTTGTGGTGTTGGGTGGTGGTGCTGCTAGGTGGTGGTGGTACGGTGCTGGGTAGTTTTGGTTGTGTTTGGTTTTGGTTTAATTATTTTTTTAGTTGGATTAATACTAAGTACATGCCCTTATTTTTTAGTAATTAAACTTAAAGAACTTTTGCCTAGGAGTCCGCAATCCCCTAGTTTGTTGCGAGTAATATGTAACTAAGGGAGTATTTACTTTGTTGATTTAATATTTTTTGAAGTTACTAACGTGTGTATTGTTTTAATAGCGAGAAGGGAGGAACATCAACGTAAGTAACTCAATTACTTAATCCGTGATTTTGGAGTAGAAATCATATTTAGGATATTATTATGATTTCTAGTATCATGTTTTGATGATATAATTATGATGATGATTGTTGTGTCAATTAGATGTTGTTTGATTATTCTTAATCGATTGTTATTACTTGAGCACACCTTGCAGGTTTAAACGGAATTCGTACTTGAAATCACGCCT